CATTGAACACTCACGAAAAAAAAAAAAAGATGCTGTATGTAGACAGGGAACGTGATCATTACGTCATTCACGTGTCATGACCATGCGCACTTCACTGCGGCTGCGTTCATACTTTGCGTCACGTTTTAAGCGTGCGGCAGCGTTTTGAGGGATTAGGAAAGTACAGATATCGACTGAGCGTTTTGAGCACGACAGCGTTTTCAGCGACTGCCCGAGAAGCGCTCAGAACGCTGGCGATATCTTTCTTAGTCGGCCAAAACGCTGCTGTACGCTCAAAACTCTGATGCAACGTGTGAACGTGGCCCAAGTATTGGAGTGCAGAACCAATATCGCCTGTAATTTAACTGTTGCGGCTGCTCAGTCCACGAGGCAAAGCTCACCCCTTTTCCTCCTCTAACTAGGAGCCATTACGGCTCTGATAAGCGATTGGCCGATAACATGAATATGCAGTCAGCGTGGTTTAGTGCGCTATCATAGAAGCGGCGCTTGGAGCGTCCCACTACGCACCAGAAAAAGTTCTACACCCCGTCAACGATCGGAGATCAGTGACGCAGCCGTATTCATAAAGGTTTCGAAACCCAATGGAACGGAGTCCTTATGAGATTTGATCATGACCGCTGAACTAAAATAATTAGCGACTGGATTACACAGGATGTCAAAAGTTGACCTGAAGCAGGCACGTTGGCTGGGATTAAAAAAGGCCGAGTAGTTTACTGAAATAGAGTTATTTTGAAACTGATTAAAGGCCAAACACACAGACAGAATTTTGCCGAAGCCACCGAGTTTTCTGACCCTGTGAAGTGTCAATTTCTCAGATCACCACTAAACTCATCAAAATTCATATCGAAACCCATAAGATTTGCACGAAATAGATTCTATCGCAGAAGAAGTATAGAGGGTAAACAAGTCAACATTGTCGGCGATTAATTACGAATATCACGAAAAATTTGAATGCCGCGCCAATGTCTGTAGTTGCAGCTTCCGCATACAGCTGACGCCATCACTCATTGCTTCTGTTTTCAGGAAATACAAGGTTTTGTCCATGGTTTCCGCAAGGAATGTTATTTTTGCCAACTTGTTATTTTTGATTATTGTTGTGTTTTTGTTATTTTTGACGAACATTGCGCGTTTTGCCTCCCGGTACCAAAGAATAGTGAACCCAAGGATATAAACTATGCAGCACTGTTAAGGGAAGCAAACCAGACAACTTTAGACAAAGGTTGGACGCAATCCTGTTTCGCGTTCGAGTGGAAGTGAATTGAGCCGGAAAAATCAAAAGGAAAAAGTGCTGAGCGCACAGTTCATAACAATCAGTGATAAGGTCGCGTTCGTACACTGCGCCAGCGAAGAATCGGAGAACTTCTGGAAAACTACGAACCGACCTATGCAACATCGCCCAAGATGAGAGCTGATTAGGGAAATATCCCCCATTTTCTGATTCTCCAGTTTGGCCCTGCTTTGACG